GGCAAAGTCGATCAAGGCATTCGCCTCCAGGAGACAGTCTGGCGAGAAGGCCGGCGGTCCTGAGTGCTTGTCGTCCCGTAGCGCGTGTGTCACCGTAGCACACATGCTGGCGGCAGTGCCAGCGGTCCCGAACGTATGTCGTTCCGCAACGCCTCGTGTTACTTCACACGCGGGCGGGACACAGTCTGGCGGCAAGGCCAGCGGTCCTGCAATCGATGCAGTCATTTGCCTCCAGGACACAGTCTGGCGGCAAGGCCAGCGGTCCTGAGAGCATGTCGTTCCGCACCGCCTGCATACCCACACGCCTGCAAAAGAGGCAAGCACCTCCAAGACACAATCTGGCGGCAAGGCCAGCCAATTACGAGCCCGTGCGTTCCGTGCGCCTTCATGACCTTACCCCCCCCCTCATGACCATGCCCCAGCACTCCCATGATTTCCTACATATCCAATACCGGGTTCACCATGGCACGGCCTCAATGTACCCCACACGCCTGCGAAAGAGGTAGATACCTGCAGGACACAATCTGGCGGCAAGGCCAGCGGTCCTGTAGTCGATCGAAGCATCCGCCTCCAGGACACAGTCTGGCGAGAAGGCCAGCGGTCCTGAGTGCTTGTCGCCCCCTAGCGCCTGCGCCACCATGGCGCGGCCTCGCTGTATTCAACACGCCTGCGAAAGAGGTAGATACCTCCAGGACACAGTCTGGCGGCAAGGCCAGCGGTCCTATAGTCGATCGAAGCATCCGCCTCCAGGACACAGTCTGGCGGCAAGGCCAGCGGTCCGGGGTGCTTGTCGCCCCGTAGCGCCTGCACCACCGCGGCGCGGCGTCGCCGTATTCCACGCGCCTGCGAAAGAGGTTGCTACCTCCAAGACACAGTCTGGTGGCAGGGCCAGCGGCCCTGTAGTCTACTGAAGCATCCACCTCCCCGACAGAATCTGGCGGCAAGGCCAGCGGTCCTGAATGCATGTCGGTCTGTAGCGCCTGCGTCACCATGGCACGCCTTTGCTACACCCCACAAGCATACGAAAGAGGTAAATACCTCCAGGACAAAGTCTTGGGGCAAGGCCAACGATCCTGTAGTCGAAGAAGGCATGTGCCTCCAGGACACAGTCTGGCGGCCAGGCCAACCATCCACGAGCCCGTGCGCTGCATGCCCCTTTTCCCTCGCGCGGCGCCGTGGGCCACCGCCCTTTACTGCGCCTGGTCGCTCTCATGTTAATAAAAGTGCTCACCACTCCCATCGTTCTGGCACCTGCAGAGGACCTCGCCTTCCACGCGTCCCCCAACCCGTGGCGTCTGCCGCCCCCTCCCCCCCGTTTTCCTACTCCTCTCCCAATCCTAATTACCCCATCCCTTCCCCCCTCCCCCACCGAGTGCCTTGTCAAACCTGGATGCCGCCACACACGCCCACGCATCTCGCACGCGGGAGTGCGGCCAGGTAGGACATCAAGGCCGCCACACATCGTGCACATTCCCACTTCCACTCCCAACCACACCCCCACCACTGAGGTGATCTTTGCATCACGGTCCAGCCGCACCACACCAACCTGTCCGCTAGCTCCCCCACACACACAAGATCCTCCTCCACCCTGCATCTTCGGACCCTCAGTGGTTGGTTGCGCCCCCGCACTGCCAGGGCTGTGCTAGCAAGGATGGTGCCAACGAGCTCACGCGGTCTTAACAGGTACCAAGATGCGCTTCCGCACTGGAGCCGCAGGGCCTTGGCCACGGTGCCTGGGCCATCACGATTCGCTGGTACAACCCATGCGGTATGAACCCAAATGCCACAGGCCATGCCCTACAACGGGCCACCGTGCCCCTCAGGGTAGTGCTCCAGGAAACTGGACCCACCAACGGGGTTCAGGCGTCCCTAAGCCATTAACATCAAGCTCCTGCCCCTTCTCCTCCTCCTCCTCCTCCTCCTCCTCCTCCTCCTCCTCCTCCTCCTCCGCCTCCACCTTCTCCTCATCATGATCATAAGCATCATCATCCTCTTCATCTTCATCGTCCTCTTCATCCGCCTGCTCTTCCTCCGCCTCCTCCTCCTCATCGTGCTCCTCCTCCTTCACCTCCGCCTCCCCCCCCCCTTCCCTCCCCTCGAATCCTCCTCCCCTGCATCCCCGCCCCCCTCCCCTCCCTCCCCTCCCGCCCGCCCTCCCCCATCCTCCTCCTCCTCCTCCTCCTCCTCCTCCTCCTCCTCCTCCTGCTTCTCCTCCTCCTCCTCCTCCTCATCATCATCAGCATCGTCATCATCATCATCATCATCATCATCATCATCATCATCATCATCATCATCATCATCAGCATCATCAGCATCATCAGCATCAGGATCATCATCAGCATCATCATGACCATCAGCATCATCAGAATCATCAGCATCATCAGCATCAGCTTCATCGTCATCATCACCACCACCATCATCATCAGCATCATCATCAACAACAACCTCCTTGTCCTCCTCCTCCTCCTCCTCCTCCTCCTCCTCCTCCTCCTCCTCCTCCTCCTCCTCCTCCTCCCCTTCCTCCCCCTCTTCCTCACCATCTCTCTCCTCCTCCTCTTCCTTCGCCTCCTCCTCCTCCTCCCCTCCTCCTATTCGTCCTCCTCCTCCTCTTCCGCCTCCGCCTCCTCCTCCTCCTCCTTGTCCTCCTCCTCCTCCTCCTCCACCGTCTCCTCCTCCTCATCCCCCCCCCTCACCTCCTCCTGATCCTCAGCCTTCGCCTCCTCATCATCATCGTACCCATCCTCCTCCTCCTCTGCATACTCCTCCTCTTCCTGCTCATCCTCCTCCTCCTTCTTCTCCTCTGTTCCTCCTCTTCATCATCATCCTCCTTCTCATCATCATCAGCATCAGCATCATCATCATCAGCATCATCAGCATCATCATCATCATCATCATCATCATCATCAGCATCATCATCATCGTCGTCGTCGTCAGCATCATCATCATCATCATCATCATCATCATCAGCATCAGCATCATCATCAGCAGCATCATCAACATCATCATCAGCATCAGCATAATCCGCAACATCACCGTCATCATCACCGGCACCGCACCGTCATCAGCATCATCATCAGCATCAGCATCATCATCATAATCATCAGCATCCTAATCAGCATCATCACCATCATCAGCAGCATCATCAGCATCATCAGCATCACCACCATCATCAGCATGATCGGCGCTCTCTTTCTCCTCAGCACCATCATCAACATCAGCATCATCATCATCAGCATCATCATTGGCATCATCCACCTCATCATCAGCATCGTCGTCATCATCGTCATGAGCAGCATCATCAGCAACATCATCATTCTC